TGACAGAAAGCATTCAAACCGCTACTAAACAGATATGCATGAGATTAAAACAGAAAACATCAAAGCTTCAACACAATCGAGCTAATGGAGAAACGAAGAAATACGAACAGATATCGAAATGAATACATTGAAAGCATGACAAAATCATTCACAAAAAAAACCGAAAAGATATCATCATCAAAACACAATAGAAGATAATAAGAACATGAGTGTATTAAGATCCAAGCTATCAAAGGGTAAGGTGAAAATATGTAAAATGGGACATAAAACATAAACAGGGAATAATACTGAACATCAAAAGCTAAATCAACAACGTTGATTCAAAACTTCTACCAAGATTTATACAGTTCAATAACCTCAGAAACAAAAAACCAGCCACAAACGATTACGAGCGTAGGCTCCGAAGAGATCCCGGATATAGATAGAGCAGAAGTAATGTTAGTGCTCAGACAAATGAAGAACAGGAAATCACTTGGGGAAGATCGAATAACAACTGAAATTATTAAAATGGGGGGAGATATATTAGAAGAGGCAATCAGAATACTTATCCTGTGTATTCACCAAGGAAAGATCCCCAGAACATGGCAAAACACAGAAGTTATTTTGCTCTTCAAGAAGGGCGATACCGCAAATATGGAAAACCATCGACCAATAAGTCTCCTTCACAAGCTTCGCACCTTCACAAGCTTCTGACAAAGATTTTTACAAACCGCCTGTCAAAGAAATTCGACTTTTACCAACCAGTTGAACGGGCAGGTTTCCGAACAGGTTTTAACATAACAGACCACCTACCAACAATCCACCACCTAATTGAGAAAAGTATTGAATATAATATACCTCTTCATATGGCATTTATAGACATGTTTAGACCAGACGCACAAGGCATTTGACTCGATAGAAACATAGGCGTTTCTAACAGCAATGGGCACAGCCAAAATAGATACAAGATAATCCACCCTCATAAAGTACATCCACGAAAATACAATACAATCAACAGAGACGTTCGTCAAGGGACACTATCTCACCCAAATTGGCCCTGGAAGATGTATTTAAGAAGTTGCACTGGGAAGCAAGATGTATAAATGTCGACGGAGTATACTTAAATCACCTAGGCTTCGCCGATGATATTGTAACGGAAATGGCCTGGGGTACTCACGTTTGGAATGGGAGGATCGAAATTCATGGAATTTCAGTAAATGGGAGCCCCATTTGCGCCCCATTTACTGTCAAGTATGACACTGACAAGCGGGAAATTTCGCACCTGGTCTGGAGATTTCGAGAACCTTCTGGGTTACCTGGAGGAAACGATATAAGCGGCGACGAGAACCAAAAGGGGGGG